AAAACTTATACAAACTTATGCAAAATTATAATAATTTTCTATAAAACATGCTTTTCACCTTTGTTTGATAGCTCAAGGTTTCTACGTGTTCTTAAGATCACTCTTTAATACATTTGGGTTCTATTCCCCTTTTTTTTTTTTTTTTTTTGGAAGGTTTCTAATGCTATGTGTTTTTAATGCCTGTTTTGTTTATTTATATTAGCTTCCTTTTTTGTGGATCGATATCCATATATTGCTTGGCCACCTAGACGCAAAATCTGGAATTCCAGGAACGAATTTATGCACAATCGGTTAATAATATTTAATGTAAGATCCGTATCGAACGATTCACCACCAAGTGGTTTTCGTTCAATTAGCATCTCTGACATGATAACACCAAGTTGTATATGTTCTTCGTTTGTGTGAATTTTTTCTTGCAAAACCTTAGGAGTAACATAAATTAAGACTCGACTCTATGCAATCTCTGTAAATTATACATTCAGAATCGATCTTTTTAGCGTGCACATCTTCCATTATAATAACTTGCTTAACCTGTAAATTCTATATCTGTTAAGTTCTGTAAACTGAACATTTGCACTTAATGGTGTACGTGATTGTGCTTATCTATATTTATATTCAACTTCTCATTCATTTTTGTACACATAACGTATTTCATCTAACCAGGCCGCTACAAATCCATTACTACCCTTCTGAATATTCTCTGATCTATTGAAAGGAATCCATTCGATTTCGTCCATATGGGACGTGGCTTAAGTTGAAATTCTATCGATATCCTTATTTCCGCTCATCCATCATATACTCATCCGTTGCATTGTTTTTGAGTCAGTCCAATTACTTTAATTTTACTATTTGACTGTACATTATCTTTAAATTCTTTTAGCATGTCTTTATAGATGGGATATTGTATACTGTCTAACCATGTCGCTAAAAACTTGTCGCCTCATTTCAAATTTATCTAATCTGTTGGAGGAATTCATTCGACATTTTCATAAGACGTAGCTTTAAGTTGATGCAATTATCGATGTTCTTATTTTCACTTGTCCGTTCTTGTGCTATTTTCTGTGGTCGCATATTTGTCACCAAGCTGGTTCTGTGTTATATCGGTTACAATTCGCACATTTTCTTTATATGTTTTATTACGTTTTTATTGCATTTGGGCACTACGAAAAAGCCAGACTAAAGTCGGGCAGCGAAGAAAAAAGGCACTATCGATCTCAATCTTTTCCCCTTAACTTTATATCGTAACTTACCCTTCTTATCTTCCTTCTAATCTTAATTAACAACCAGAGCATGACTATCATCATGCATTAGGTTAAAATCTTAGTATTATGCGTTAAATTTTTTATTTTAACAGTAAAACGCGCACTGTTCACATATTTTATATTTTATTAACCTCGATATAATCATCGGGTCGGTAACCAAAATTCGATGTAATTAAGGTGATAGTGCCTATACAAAGGTCAATTTTCTTATGCTTTATAGTAATTGGTAAAATGGAAATAGGATTGTTTTCTAATTTGATTTTTATATCGAGTGACCATATCAAGGTTAGACTAATTTTTGAGCCAAAAATAAAAAAAGTGCAGTGAGCACATAGCGCACATAAATTTTTATAACGGATTCTGAAAAGTGAATACTAAAACAAGCTTAAAATAGTAATTTACTTTTTGAATTTATTCAATTATGCAATCTCAATACTCGGTACATCGAGATGCAAATAATTAATAATAGATACAATTATCATCTATGGGATACATTTATAATACAATAAATAACGCAAACTGTACAAACAAATTAGGACACTAATCCTGTTCGGCATTGGCTCCAAAAAATCCAACACTGCCAACGGCCCAAATTTCTCTCTCTTCTTCTG